AAAAATAATTAACAAACTCATTTGTTAATTACTAAACCACTCTCGTATCGCTACTCTCGTCCGAGACTCCATTAGAGACTGCTTTCAGCAATGTACGAGTAACCCTCAAATAGCCCCCTCTACTGATAGACCCTTTGAAAATCATTATCTTGCTACTCCAAGTACCCTCAATTAATAAAAAATAATTAACAAACTCATTCGTCAATTAATAAACCACTCTCGTATCGCTACTCTCGTCCGAGACTCAATGCGAGACTGGTTTCCACAATGTTCATGGGACCCCCCATTCCTCCCTCTATCGATAGCCCATTGAAAAATCATTCTCTTGAAACTCAATGTGCATCCAATTAATAAAAAATAATTACCAAACTCATTTGTTAATTACTAAACCACTCTCGTATAGACGCTCCAAAAACGTTTTTCTTGCTACTCAAATCCCCTCTAACTAATCGGACATGATTAAATAATTAATTTGCCAATTACTTAACCACTCTCGTATCTCTACTCTCGTCCGAGACTTGATCCGAGACTGCTTTCAGCAATGTTTAAGAGACCCTCAATTACCCTTTCTACCTACATTGGGTCCACAAAGGATTTTCAACTTATCTAATGCACCCTCAATTAATAAACAAATTGATTTGTGAAGGCATAAACAACTCTCGGATGCTCGGACGAGAGTTTTTACTGGAGTTTGGCGCCCTAACCTCCGAAAATCCGAGAGTCGAATGAGTGTCCATTCCGAGAGTCCCTAGTCTCGGAGTGATCCACCAGGGTAGTGCAAAAAATTAATTGTTTATTGATTGTTTGTCCCGCAGAGGGTTAAAATGTTAAAAATAGTCCAGGGCCTCTAATTTTTGAGCTACAGAGGTTTCTTTTTCTTCAAAATGTTTGAAAAAATGTGTACAATAACAATTACGAATTATTTTTCTGAAATTCAACTCCTAAACAGCTAATTCCGTTATTTTTTTAATGAAAAATTGCACCATTCCTGTAAAATGGCCCGAAAAATGTGTCTTAAAGAATCGAGAATATATTTTAAATATTTTAAGGATAATTTTTCTGCCTATTTTACATAAATAACGCAAATTTTTATTTCAAACAAAACGAAATTAGCTGTGGAGGAGTCTAATTTCAAAAAACTAATTCGTCATTATTATTACACACATTTTTTCAAAAACTTTGAAAAAAAGACATCTCTGTGGCTCTAAAATTTGAGACCCTGGACTATTTTTAACATTTTAAGCGTGTTCAGGGCAAACTAACAATAAACAATTAATTTTTTTGCACTAATCATTCGTTTTTACACATATTTACTTAATCTTTAATGTATGAGAAATCTCACTCCAATCGCCCACGCCTTTTAAAACTCATAGTAGTCTCCCCTTAAAATGAGTAACTGAAATTAGAAAAAAATATTGTGGCGTAAAATGGAGCGGAATCTTTCTTGGATTTTTGGATATTTCCGCAAAAGTACTCACTTTCACGAAAGTGATGAAAAAATCTAACAAATATTAATAAATATTTAAATATTTAACAATATTTACGTTGGTATACATTTCAGTCATCGAAAATTATGAATTCTAGCGCAGAATTCGCATTTCTGTGGAATTATTTCAGGAATGCAAGAATCATCAAATTTACAACTCTGACGAAGTTTTCATCTCGAAAAATTTATTAATTTTAATACAGTTTCTACAAATGTGTTGATGAATGCATGGTTCATATCATAAACAAGCCAGTTAATTTGAATCGGAATATTAGAAATGATTTACTGCACAAATGATAACTAAGGATTTCTTCAGAATTCAGAGGAATTGGATATTCTAAAAATATCCTAAGTTTACAAATTTTAGAAAATATAATTTTCAATTTTCTTGAACGCCTCCTTTGAAGCAAGAAGACGCGCAAGAGTATGAACGTTAAGTAGAGAATGCCACGTTTGTGCAGTCAGACGACCGTGGACGATACTCCATATTGAGGATTTACTAGATCTACTGATCAATCAGGTTGTTTCCTGTGTGCGCGAGTGATAACCGACGTTTACTGCAACTTTACTTGATTTTGAGGGACACTATTGGTTTTAGATCGGGTATTAGAGTGAGCAGATGATGAATCTTCTCCAATAACTAGACGATCCGCACTCAGGGTCAGGCTGATTGGGGTTGCATTCAGTAGCTGGAGACGAACAGGGCAATGGCGAAAGCCTTCTCATGAAAAAATAAGCGGAAAATATGCAGATGAACCGATTACATACAAATAAATGTATAAACTATATTGTGTTACAAATGCGGAAAGAACTAGTTTTGCGCACGCACGCGTAACACATCCTGTTTTTTGTGGTACCTGCCAAGTTCACTGTTCGGAAAGGTATAGTGGAGATAAAGCGAAACTTTATGCACGAGAATTTACTTTACGCACGATCTCTGAACTTTATACACGCCGTGCGTAAAACAACCACTTTACGCACACTAAACGGTTTCGAAAAGTGAACTTTTCCGGCAGATATCACCAAAATAGTATATTTCGATACGATTGCGGGAAAGTGTTTTTGGGCTCGTGGAATGTTTATAACACGAGCCGAAGGCAAGTGATATAATCCCACGAGTCTAAAAACACTTTTCCCGCGAGTGTCGAACACTATTTTTCATCACAATGTGTGGGAAATGGGGTTTTGCGCACGCAGACCGTGCGTAAAATGTCACTTTACACACAGCGTGATGAAAATACGTTTTGCTTTCAAAAAATTCGAAAGCAAAAATAACGGAAAAAGCTAGAGCTTTTTCAGAAAATTCTATTGGATTGTTATTGAAACTCTATAAAAATTCTATTAGATTTGTGCGCCAATTCTCTTGAAAGTTATGCAGCTTCACTGTCTAATTAAAAAAAAATATCTGGTGAAAAAAAGTCTGTAGATTTTTATTTTTCTATAGAAATTCTTGGGCATGAATTTTCGATATTTTTCCCGCTGCATTTTTATTCGTTTCTCATAATGAAATCCAAAGTAAAAAAACTTGGAAAAATCATGCCAGAGAATTCTTATAGAAAAAATCCCAACAGAATGAGTTATACAAAAAAATCTACATCACTTTTCTCTATAAAACATATTTATTGAAAAGTGCACAGCATAATTGAATAATTCATACCAGACTTGACGCAAAAAATGGATAGAATTTTCGAGTTCAATTCTAATAGAACTCCAATGGAATTTTTATCTGATTCCAATAGAATTTGAACAGATTTTTTTTATGAAAAGCGCTAGTCCATTCTCCCCGGATATAATCTCAGTACCGCAGCGGTAAAACTGTTCAAGTCGATTTGGACTATTGGTCAGTTTTCAATTAATTCCTCGCAATCTAAGGCAGATAGCAACATTTTTGTCAAAATCTTTCTTGTAGCTCTCAATCCGCTCTACAAAAAAGGTTTATTTAGTGAGGAACTAGGTTTAGGGTGGATATGGGAAAAAATGTGCAGGGAGATGCTGGAAAATTAATTTTCGTGTCACGGGACCTGAAAATTAATGTACACACCTCGCCGTGGAAAACATATCCCCCTCCCCCACGTGCAAGATTGCCTTCCGAGCCGAAGGCGACGGTGATCTGTTTTCCAACGCTCGGGCATGTAATGTACTATGTCACTGTGTATCAAAAAATATACTCAATTTATTGTGGGCTCGAACCACTTCGTTAATTAAATAAATACATTTCTTTGGTAGTATCGGCACTGTTGATAGTCTTTTAAAATAATTTGTTGAGTCACGGAATTTAACACTGAATTTAATCAAAACTGAGGTGATGTACTGAACGTAATGTTACAATTAAATGTCCGTGCGATCTTCTCAATAGCTAGATTTCAACTACTTTCCGGGGGTTTCGCGATCCCTTGACCTCTCAATCGAAGGTTCCCGATGGTGCTCGAGGATTGTCGATAGGACCGACCGTTCAACTGATAGATATATCTACGTTTCAAATAAGGCTATTACGAAAATTTTACTATCTCCCTTAGATTCGGAGATATTCCTGAAAAACTCAGCGAAAGCGAAGTCGACTTCAGCCGCTTTACCGCTTCGCCACTGATCTACGTGTAAGTGGATCAGTACCCGCATGATGTGGACCCAGGCAGTGACAGCAGATCGGATTATTCCTCGATCTGGGACAAAAGTCAACGTAATGCGCATCGCCACATCGCACGCATCTCGGGGACTGCCGGCAATTGGCGGCCATGTGCCAGAAGCCTTGACAGCGATAGCACTGGAGGATCGACTTTCCTGATTGTTGGGAGTAATCCTTAGCTGTGGCCGATACTGCTGCAGGTACTGGCTGTATCTCATTCAGATTCATCGAGGGGTTTGCTATTACTCTGCAGAAATCGGGGGTGCGGTCAGTGACCGCTGCTGGGAGGGCGTTGAACCGACATATTCCGAAGAAATCTAATCCCTCGCGAATTAGCTTCTCGTAGTCCGCTACTTCGGGGATCTAGAGGTGATTTCCAAGGGTGCGAAGACATTCAATAAATAATGCAGGCGGATTAAAGTTGTATAAAGTAACTCCAGTCGAGGAGCGGAGTGTAACGAGGAAAAATGAATTCAAAGAGTCGAAAAAAAATTATTCATCGTTGATAATTCCATCTTTCCATGAATCCTAACTTTGATGAGTGTAAGAAATTTACCCAGCAATTTCTTTCCTCAATAATTTTTTTAATCCTTAGTTACTCGCGTTGACGACACTGCGCCGATGAAATTCTATTTTTTAGTATAACTTCCGAAAAAACTCATTAAAAAAATATGCAAAAATTTGTATGCCTCACTGATTTTATCTTAAAGTATACTCTGCCATTTCTGACCATGGCCTAAGCCCCTGATTAACGAAAATTTCCTTCTATGTTAACTGGAAATAAAAAATACGGCGTCGTGCCGCGACGCGACTTATTGTGTCATGGAAATATTTCACACGGCGTTGCCACACTTGTGGCTGCCGGGGCTGCCGGGAGATCAGTGAGTCCACTCTCCGAATGAATTGTGGCAACGGCGCGCTCAGATTTACATTACGGTGCGGGGCCGCGTCGGGCAGTTTCACGCGAGTAACGCAGGATTAAACAATAGTCTCGTTTGAATAGGGTATTTCGACATAGCACACCATTTCGGGCACGCAGAAACATGAATTATTTGTTGCAAAAGGTTGCCAAGGATAATTTTCATAGTGGCCATAGCATTTTTTTTCTGTTTTTTTTTTCTAGATTTTAATCTTCTCATTAAATCCGAAAAGTTCATTTCCTCATGAGGCTCTGCGTTATTTGTGCATTTCTAGATTAATTATATTAGCAATAATATGAGACGGTCGATTGAGCACAAACTCAACTGAAAAGTTCCGATTCGCATTAACTTTTGTTTAAAATTCATTTCAGATTTTAGTCTTCAAAATTCAAGTCATGTTTATGCTACTTTGATACATTATTTAGTGGCTTATGTTCACATTTTGAAACATAAAATGAAGATTTGAGTTTTAGTTCATAAATTATTCATTCAATTACTTTGAGAAAATTTCATAAAAGAACTTGCGAATTGACTAGAAGATTCGCAGCGCAAAATCTTTACCTTAATTCGGATATGAGACTGGCATCGATCGAGAGTTGCCGATGTAATTCCCTGTTTATCCAAGGCGGAACTCAGATCTTCAAGTGGTATAGCCCAAGGTACATCGTGAAGGAAAATCGATTGTTGATAGTGCGAACCGCATGCACGAAATTTAACAACCTTAAAAAATGAAATTCACATGGACAAATTTTATAGAAAAATCTATCGCCTACTCGAGAAATTTTATTGAATGTTTACTGGAACTCTATGAGAATCCTATTTAAAAAATTTTAATTCGTTTTTTACCGCTGATTTCTACTGAAAATAACGAATTATTGCCGGACAATTTTTTATGGGTTTTCAACAGAAAAAAAGTGAATAGATTTTTATTTTGCTACAAAAATTCTCTTGTATAAATTTTCCAAGTGTCTTCGATTGCATTTTTTTGTCTCTTATCAGGGGGATTTTCTTTAAAAAATGTAGTATCAAATGAAAGTTGAAAAAAAATCATTTAAAAATGTTGATAATTGCGGAAGTAATAATTTTTTTTGAAAATTTCCAGTTCCATTTTTTTTCAATGAAAACCGTAAAGTTCTAGACAACACACAGAACTGGCCGTCGTCCTGACTCTGTGCAAGCACTCTAAGTGGTGCCACAGGAAATTTTTTGATGTTGCATTTGATTAAACCATGAAAAAATTTCAATTGCATTCCAATGTGCATGATTATTGATTATGGTGCGAGAAAAGGCTGGAAATATCGAATATATTGTAGCTCTTTAGCATCCAAAAGTATCTAAAAATGGAAATGTCGTGAAATCATTTCTTATTCGATTCAAATAATTAATCAACAAATAATTTCGTATTTGATTCAAACAGTTATTGTTGGCTTCATCAACAACATATGAGGATAGAAAAACTCAATAACTTGTGAAAATACACTAAATTAAGTCATTTAGAATTTTTTCCGGAAATCCATAAGAACTAAATTTTGAGTGATCTTGTCTTGAGATATGCTTTAAAGGGTCTACCCGGGTAAAGGCGATAATTTTTTCATACATTTATCACAACAAAAAAATTATGCAAAATTTCAGCTTATTAATCATGAAAAAATCTAATAAAAAAACCTAGCGAATTCCCTAAACAATTCTTTTGGATTTCTATTGAAATTTCTATTAGTTTTCGGCCGATTCTAGTGAAATGTTTGATAGAAAATATTCTCTGGAAAAAGTCTATAGAATTTGATGTTTCTATCACTTATTCTATTGATATATTTTTTCTGTAGAATTTCCTCAGCTCAAATTTTCCAAGTTTTTTTCATTGTATTTTGTTTCTTTTCATCGAGGGAATCAAACGAGGGACTAGTCACTTGGGAAATCACTGGACCACTCGACTGGAAATCATGAAAGAAATCACCAGAAATCAATGAAAATCACTAGAAATCAAGTGATTTCCATGTTCGGTAGTGATTTCTAAAAATTTCAAGAAATCATCGTAAATCAATAGGAATCATACAGAAATCAAGTGATTTCTGAAATTATTAGAAATCATCGATAAGTGTAAAATCGAAATTGATTTTGCAGTTTCAACCCCACAGTTTTTGTTGCGGTATCAGTGCGTTCGAAATCACCCAATCCCGAAATGCGATGCTATGAAGTTTTGGACATCCTTATGTATTGTAACGTCATGTAGAAAACTGCCATTATCGACAGATGCCTCACTCTGGTCCCGAAATTATAATTTCTCCACTGATTTCTTGAAATCAAGAAATCATTGGAATCTACTAGAAATCATGGACATCACAAGAAATCATCATTTCTAATGGTGATTGAGAAATCTGATTCTGGAAATCACTCTCACTCGATTGAGGAGTGACCAGCCCCTCAGAATCAAATAGAACAACTTGGAAAATTACCTGTACTGGACACTGAAAGATATCAGAGAAATTGATACTCTCAATTAATTTATCAGCATCGGCTTCTGTGCTGAAAGACACGACTAGTCCATAGGTTGTTTGATGTATGCTCCAGGGTTCTGCAGGTTGGGACTTTACGATGGCTCTTTTCAGCTCCGATCTTGGGAGACCAATCCGACTCGGGGCATTCAGCATTCGGGAGATGTACAGAGAGCAGCCCGATCCATTTCGCTCAACTGCCATATTTACAATGATTAATACCAGTTGACATTCTACGCGAACATCATTTGCGCAAATGTTTAAGACAGGTTCAGAAAAGGTTTGAGTTTTTAAGTCGTATCGATTACGGGTTGTTGCCTACTTCAGTGTATTCTAGAAATTTTGTTTATTTACGCGTGGAAAAAGTCAGTAAAAGATCACGCACAAAAATATTTCGTAAGAAATCGGAAATAGAAAAGGGAAAGGCGTGCAATATTTCGACAAATACTACAGAGAATCATTTCCACCCTGGTACCAGGGAAATAAATCATCAAGAGAACTCATCGTTAGAATAAACAGAATAAGAGCGAACCATTATCACCTGAACGCCTCACACAAAAGAATGTCAATGTTCTCAGGTGTGAGCTGCAACTGCGGGGCAGAATCCCAGGACATTGATCACATACTATGGCAACGTCCCCTTCTGAATTCGCAGAGGTTAGAACTAACAACCAAACTGAGATCATTAAAATATTTTTCTCAGTATTGGACTTTCCAGTTCATGGTGGCAACCGACTCTGAAAAGACACGGAGAGAAATATTCAATAAAAATTACATATCTTTTCCGTAATTCTGGAGCGAAATGTCGTTGTAAGAAATTTTACGGAATTGTCATAACATAACATAATTTTTATCTGAATCTCCTGTGAAAAATTACGATACCGTCAGTTAAATTTTCTGAGTCGATTCCGTAATCGGTGAGCGAATTGTGAGTTCCGTAATTTTTAAAAAACATCCATACAAAATCCAGTGTAAAAAGAAAATTTACGACACCCTATCAGTGTAAATAACCCTGTTATGGGTTCTATACTATAAACCAATAAAAAAAATATTTCGTAGAAAAACGTAGCGAATTTGATAGAAATTTCTATTGGATTTTTATGGAACTTCTATTGAAAATTCCATTAGTTTTTGGCCGATTCTATTGACGGATTTCGTGGCCTTACTATACGTTTTAATAGAAAATCTTCAGAATAAACTATTTTAGAGAAAAAATTGGTAGAATTTCATCTCTCAATTTTCATCGAAACAAACGACATTTTCTATCGAAATTCTTCGATATGAATTTTCTGAGTCTTCTCCACTCCATTTTTCTTGTCTTTTTTTTCTTGTCTTTATTTAAAAACATTAAAGAATAGATGACCCTGAAGTTTGCAGACAAAAATCTTCAACAGAGCATATCTGATGAAGAAATTGAACAATGAGAAAATTTCAAATTTCAATTTGTTGGGTGTGACGAAATATAATCGCGATGGCGGCTGAATATGTAAATAAATAAATTAGGGGTTGATTTCTTCAAAATTTAACAATGGAAAACCATTGACACGGCATATTTCACTCCGGAATTATTTTATTGAAAAAAAAACATGGTCGCGATTTTCATTCTACGAAATTTCGACGTGATTTTTGTCCTTCTTTTTGTGGTCTTATCGGTTAACGTTAAATCCGCTGTAGAACACTAAATCTTTAGCAAGTTCCATTATTCATCCAAATGATCCGATCGAAAAAAGCACAAGCATCACGTTTGAAAAAATTATAAATCTTCTCGTGATGTTTTTTGTTTTTTGTAATAAATGTTTCATTAATGATATATGCAATGTTTTTCACGAGGGAAAACATCAACAGAGGATATCTACGAGAAAGATACGTAGATTGGGACAAAAAACAAATGAAATGTTGGATTACGATAGAAACTCTACGTGAATTTTTTTTTTCGATTTCTCTTCGCTATTTCCATCAAAAATGATGAAATTACGAAAATAAATACGATCAAGATTGGATATCTCCTACAAAAATGATTATATTCTTAAAAAATCGACATTTATGATGTTCTGAAAATGTTATTCTTGAAAACTCTCCCATGAGTTTCTTCTTTTTAGGGCTGCGCACGAGACGAGACTTTCGCCAGTCTCGTCTCGGTCTCGAAAAATATCCAAATTTCCAGTATCGTCTCGGTCTCGGTTAAGAGAATGTCGTCTCGGTCTCGTGAGTGTAAAACTTAGAAAATAGGAAAAATAATTTTTCTTCAAAAAGTCACAAAGAGATGGTCAAACTTCATCAAAGGTCACAGGAGGATGGTCAAATTTCACGGGGGTCACGAGAGTAACAAGGGGCTGGTCAAATTTCACGAGGGTTAAACATCACGAGAGTCTTTAGAGGATGGTTAAATTTTCCGAGGGTCAAACATCACGAGGATCTCAACGGGATGGTCAAACATTACGAGGGTCACGTAGGTCACAAGGGAGAGAAAATCGGAGAGTTTTTTCGACAACCAAGAAAGTTCCTCAAATTTCCACTAAAACCGTACAGTTTTCTCGAATTTTCCGGTTTTGAGAAAACTGGAGTTTTCTTAAATTTTTTAGAAAATTGAAGGATTTTCTCGAATTTTCTAGAAAACCCGAGAATTTCCCTCAGGATATTCGACTCTCGTAAAATTTGACTATCCCCTCGTGACTCTTGTGATGTTTGAGTCTTGAAAAATTTGACCATTTCCTTGTGACCCTTGTAATCGTCCCGATTTTTTACCCTTGTAAAATTTGACCCTCCCCCCATAATTTTCGTGATGCTTGTCCTCGTGAAATTTAACCATCACCTTGGGATCCTCGTAATTCTCGTGATTTTTGTGACCCTTGTACAATTTGGCCAACCTCTTGTGACTAGAGTTTCTAGAGCTAGCTCTTTCTTCTCTGCGACATATTTCTTTGCCATTTCCTCGCAAAATACACTTTGTTAAACGATTAGATATATGAAATTCAGCGTCATGACTATAGTATCCATTGTAGATCTCTGAGAATAATAATTAGAAACAAAGCAACGAATATCACGTAACAATTGGGAGAGAATGTGAAGTGTGAGTTTTTTTCCTTTCAACATCATTGTTCGTCTAGTAGATATTCGATGTTAAACGTATTTATTTTCGTAATTCTACTATTTTTCATGGAAAGAACGAAGAGAAATTGAAAAAAAAATTTCACGTCGAGGTTTTATTGCAATCCAACGTTTCATTTGTTTTTTGTCCTAATCTACTTATCTTCCTCGTAGATATCCTCTGTCGATGTTTTCCCTCGTGAAAAACATTTATTACAAAAAACAAGAAACATCACGACAAGATTTATAATTTTTTCAAACGTAATGCTTTTTCTTTTTTCGATTGGATCATTTGGATGAATAATGAGGCTTGCCAAAAATTTAGTGTTCTACGGCGGATTTTACGTTGACCGATAAGACTAGAAAAAAAGGACAAAAATCACGTTGAAATTTCGTAGAATGAAAATCGTGACCATGTTTTTTTTTCCAATAAAATAACTCCGCAGTGAGATATGCCGTGTCAATGGTTTTCCATAGTTAAATTTCAAAGAAATCAACCCGTAATTTATTTATTCACATATTTACCCACAATCACGATTAGATTCCGTCACGCCCAAATTGAAACTTGAAATTTTCTAATTGTTCAGTTTCTTCACCAGATATGCTCTGTTGAAGATTTTTGTCTGCAAACTTCAGGGACATAAGAATAGAGATTAACAAATTTAAGCTGAGGAATTTCTATAACATATATTCATTAGATTAAATTGTATAGAAAAATCGCATTTTACTGATTTATTTTTTGTAGAATATTTCCCATTGAACATTCATATTGAAAAAAAACGGACATGATTTTTATTCAATTTCCATTAGTTTTTGACCGATTTTATTGAGGGATTCAGCGATTTTATTGCGCGTTTTTAAATAGAAAATCTCTCATAGAAATAATTTTATAGAAAAAATTGGTAGTTTGGTTTCTATGTACAACTTTTTCCATTGAGACATTTTCCATCGAAATTTTGCGATATCAATTTTTTTAGGTTTCTCTATTTTATTTTTCTTCCTTTTTTCGAACAATATTTTCAACGAGGATACGGTTCATGGTGCAATTACCCACATGTTGACATCGCACATTCCAATATTTATGGAATTAGATGCTTGCATCGTGCAATCAGAATGTGACGTAGAATTATCTAATCTTATGAATTATTCATCCGCAAAAAACGGACGAGTTGTTCGATAGAAAAATCTATTGGATTTTTATTAAAAAACTGAATTCTACTGACTTTTTCTATAGAATATTTTTCGTTGAGCATTTATATTGAAAAAAATGCACAGATGAAACGCTTGGATTCCCCTACAAATCCAAGAAATTTTTATGACGGCTGTCACTACTGTATAGAATTCTATGTGGATGCAACTTCATTTGTCCTTTATCAATTTTTATTTGAATTCATTTCTGTATAAATGTTTTGATAACAATACGCTTACAATTTTTTTTTCGCTTACAAATTTGTGATCAAATGCCGGCCATCTTCGCGAGAAATCGCGAACTGCACCTTTCGCTTAAATCGCTATGTTAACCCTCGATCGGTCGCGTCAAGGCACGAGTGCCGTTCTGTCTCGATTTTTAGTTTTTTACATTGAAACGTTGTTGAGAAAAAATCTGGAAAAATTGAAATTCCTACTTTCCACCATATCAAACATTTAAACAATTTTTGTTCTGTGCATCTATGCACCGATCAAAAATTAAAATTCCTTAAAAATTCGACTCGGTCAAAATCTCTGTGTTTAACCTCTAAATGTGAAATTTTTGCACCGAATGGAAATAAATTTTTAAATAATGTTTTCACTTTTCTCGTTTTATATTCATATTAGTTCTTAGTTGGAAGTTCAACGTTACTCGTTTAATCATAAATACATCATTTGTTTCAACTTTTTTTTTCTCAAAATGGTAAAATACACGGAACGGCGCTGCGCTCATCACGCGACCAGATACGTTTGGTGGAGAGGTGCGACCACTCGAGGGTTAACATCATTGTGACAAATGCTACATAAGTTGAAATTGAAGTTTAGACTTGTTTCAAGCAGTGGGGTGGTGGAAAACACTATTAAATGAGGCGTTTTCAAATGCTGGCGATCGTCGCGAGAAAATCCTATTCATTACTAGGAGGCTCCGCCCCCTGCTCTCTTCGCTCACCAACCCGACGGGGGGCTTTGCCGCCGCCGCTCGCTTCGCTCGCTCCACCCCCCAACTATGTGACCGAGTGGATACGACTGAATATGAAAATACAAATTCATCGTTTCAATTGCCTGAAATTCAAGAGAAGAAGTCCCAAAAGTAATCTGCATTTTTTCTATTATATATGAGTATATTGGGGGGAATATTTTTGAAAGTTGGAGCCGAGAGTGCCTTCTAAATAGAGTCGAATTTTTTATGAAAAAAAAAAGCGGAACCTAAAATTTTTGGGGCAATATATTTTGTCTACAGATTTGATGGAATCGCTGGATATTCCCCCATGGACACCCTCCCCCCATATGGGAACCCCTCATCTTTCAGCGTCCTCTAAATTTTCCCTCCCCGTTTTTTTTTATTATATGTATAGACAGATATTAAGAGAAACATTAACCCTCCTGAACTAGCGTTCGGTGCCCACCCGAGTCCACTGGCTCGGTGAGCAACGCGCTGCCCGTGTTACAGTGAGCGCGGTGTTGCTCCATTGGAGCCCTATACGTGAATAAAAATCTATACACTGCACACATGTTCCTCGAATTAATAGTATTTTTTCGGCCTGTTGCGATGGGGTTTTTTACTCCTGTGGCGTTGGCCTCCGAGCCGTAGGCGAGGACTGGCCAACCACACGAGTAAAAAAACCCCATCGCAACAGCCCAGGAACAATATTTTTCTGTAGTGATTTTCAAGTTTTCGAGTTTGGCAAGTATGTAATACCAATTCCCAGACGAGAAATCGTGAGAAGCAGTACAGAAAACACCATTTATGCTTAAAAAACAAAAATTCGCGTTTTTTATGAGACGCCAAACACGGCACGTGATAGAGATGTTAACGTTCCTAGTATGTCTGAACTGAAACAAATGACGTGGCAACAGCGCGGTTAAAAACCGGCTAATACACGAGTCCCCTGGCTCCGGGCGGCGAGGCGCCGCGGTTTCTTACCAGTCTCACTAAATTATTATTTTTCATGGTATTCATGGGGTTTTCAAGGGATAGGAATCTTACCCGTTCATTCTAGAGGGTTTGAAGTAGGCGTTGTAATTTTTATAAATTTTTTCATACATAATTTTGCATGCAACAAGAAAAAATCGAGAAAAGGCGGCGCTTTGCTCATTGAGCCAGTTGAGGAGGGTTAAAGATGGGAATTTATATAGCATTCCACATCTTTGTAGCGTCATAGAAACTGATTGGATGGGATTTGGCTGAAGGAGGGGAACCGGGATTATTCTCAATATGAATGACCAGGAAATTTTTTTGTTCTGAAAAAATGGATAGTTCAGACCGGGGTTTGAACCTGGGACCTTCATTTGTAGTAAGAATATTTGTCACATGACCGTCATTTTTGGTCATATAACACCATTTTAAAAGTGACGGTTATTTTGCATCTATAGCGGCGCGCCTACATTTTGCAGTGAAAAGAATTTGAAATCCTCGAACACCATTGGTGCATTTCAACCTGCGCAGAAAACATTCAAAAATAAGCGCGTGCGCAGAATGAAGTGTTGTTGATAAACAGTCGAGAAACTAGTCCTCCGCGAAGTGTTATTTTAGAACATCTCATGTGAAAACATATCTGTGCAGCCCATTTGGTGTGATAATTAACTATTTGTGATATTTCGGTGGAAGTTTAGTCATTGTTGACCGTTGACTCCAGTAAACTGAGTGAATCTGAAAGCTAACCTAGAATCTTCTGCAACTCCTCACTGAAGAAACGATCAGGACTCTCTGTTTGATAATTAGAGCACAATGACAACCAACAGAAGCACCAGGGAAATTTTATTATCACTCGTTGATGATATTGAATTGATAGCCAAGTAAGATTGACATTTAATTGCACTCGGAATACATACGATTCGATAACTGACAAGAGAAGACTACATTCTTTTCATAAACTCATTTTTTTTCTACTCGTTTTGAAGTGTAGTCCTTCACTCAATGGATTTTAGATATTCGTAATGTGTCATGTGACGCTTTTGTACTCTCGCAATAATTTAACGTGATCACATAGGTGTCAACAGTGCTTCAAATATTGAATGGCTGAAGCCAAAATGGATTTTACTTTCATTTTATGAAGACCCCGCAGCTCTACGTAAATTGTCTATGCAGAATCAAAATTATTTAAGTATGAAACAATTTAATAGAATAACTTGATGTTTTCCCTGAGAAATTCCGTTCAATTTGTATTGGAAATCTAAGAATTCTATTGGAGTTCTATTAGAATTCAGTTGAAAAATTCCTTTTATCCGTTTTTTACGACAAATCGGCTAAAAATTGGGCTGTTTCTATTCGATTTTACTTGAAATAATTTTTTCTGCTAATTAAAACATTCTTGAAGGTATGGAAGCAACCATATCCCCATTTAGGTGATTCTTTTATTTTAGATCCTACCACCACGGACGAAAAAATTTAATAGAAAAACCTATGGAATTCGTTAGAAAATTCTATTGAATTTCTATTGAACTGTTCTATTAGTTTTTGGCCGATTGTATTGAAATATTCAATAGAAAATATTCAGTAGAAAAAGTCAATAGAATTCAATTTTTCTATATAACTTATTCTATTGAGATATTTTCTATAGAATTTCCTCGGTTCAAATTTTCTAAGTTTTTTCGTTTGATTTTCTTGATGAGAAGAAAAGAAAAATAGAATGAAAAAACCTTAGAAAATTTGAGTCGAGCAAATTCTATAGAAAATATATGAAAAGAATAAGTTATATAGAAAAATTGAATTCTGTTGACTTTTTCTATTGAATGTTTTCTATTGAACATGTCAATAGAATCAGCCAAAAACTAATAAAAAGTTTAACAGAAATTCAATAGAATTTTCTAACGAATTTGATGGGTTTTTCTATTAAATTTTTTCGTGCGTGACGAAATCCCAATTTCCCTTATCCGTCCAGAAATGGTCCGTCCTGTTCGCCCTACTCTCTGTCCAATCAAAATTAGAGAATGTGAAAATTGGACGATCACAATGTTTCCATTCAAAAGCAAAACTAACACGGAAAAGGTACAGACTCCAATAGAATTCTTGTAGTAATTCAGTAGAATTTGTCAAAGAAAACGCAAAGTTCTTCTATTAATTTTTTCGTACGCGTTAACAAGCCATTCAACAATGAATTAAATTATTTCGAATAGTGGAACAAAAAGGAACTTTTCAATTGAGTTTTCTCATACGTGTCCATTCATAATTGACAATTACAGGGAGATGATTGAAAACACAATAGCCCAGAAGCATGCAAAGCTATCGACATCAGAGCACGCCCAGCTGACGGAGCTGCTCGTCTCCAAAGACCAAGAATTGAAATCAACACTAATACAATCAGCAGAGCAAGCCCAGATAAACATAAAGATGGACGCTCTGAAGGCCGAAGTGGAACGACAGGATCAAGACATTCAGCAGTTGCAGCGCCAGTTGAAAGAGGCTGAGCAGATCTTGGCAACGGCTATCTATCAAGCGAAACAAAAATTGCAGTCGATTGCACGGGCGAACAAGCGACCAGTTCCTTCTGAGGAGCTCATTAAATTTGCTCATCGAATCAGCGCTGCTAATGCTGTGTGTGCCCCTCTGACCTGGCAGCAGGGAGATCCCAGGAGGCCTTATCCAACTGGTAAATTTAATTTTAGAACACTAAAAGGCAAAATTAAAAATTTTGAATTCGTTCATACATTCTCTCAGTATTATTTCGATTCCAGTATTTTTGAGAATGAATTCATGAAAAACTTTAATGAACAGGAAAAATAAGGGGGAAATTGCTTTCGTCACAGCGTAGCCAATATACTTTTGATAAGAAATTAGCAATTTGTTTCTGACGGAATATCTGGGACGATGGATTTTAAATTTAATTACATTATATTAATCCGATAAAAATTTTCATCTCGGATTTTTATTCTTTGCTATTTTTTTTAAGGCCCGGGTATACTATCTTTCGAACGTTATTTCGATGTTTTTTTTCATCTTTCGTCATCTGAAATTGTCAATTGAGTCCTGCATCATGCAGAAGTTTTGAAAAATTAGGAATAAATAATCAAAAAAAAGTAGAAAAAATTCTTAATTTTTTTAAAGAGCATTTTTAATTTATGTTCCGAATAAGTTGAATAACAAGAAATTCAAAAATGTATCTGATTTACGGTGACAAATGGCGGCCTGTCACCCAATATCATGCAGGGGGAAGACTGGTTTATTACGGAAGAAGCTCTTTGAAAAAAGTTGTAATATTTTGGAGAATTTTTTAATCACACTTTTATCACATAAAAATGGCAGGTGACTACATACCACTGTTTTGAAAATTAAGATACCTAGCTGTCACTTCCCATGAGGAGTTAGTGTTTTGTTATCCACCATGGAAAATGACAGCTAATAGATAATTTGCCACAGCGAATCAGATATTTATAATTTCCACTTTTTCCAACTCATTCTGAATCTCAATTAAAAACGCTTTTTGAAAAAGTTCAGAATTTTTTCCATTTTTTTAATCATTCTATCATAATTTGTGGGAATTTCTACATGATGTACCACTCAATTGACAATTTTGGATTACGAAAGATAAAAAAAATCCAGATAATATTCGAAAGATAGTACACCCGGGCCTTAATCAATGTATTCTATCAAAATGTGAGGATAGGAATTGAATTAATGGGTATGTGAAAAAATATATCAATTTTAAAACTTTCCGGAGAGATTGAAATATCGAAATCTTTATTTTCTTGCGATCATTATCCCAACAAAAAGCATCAATACTCTCCTTTTATTTATCATAAATATCTCATTTGAAAATGAGAAAAACTGTTCCCACAATTTGTATACTACAATGGGAATAGAATCCAATAAATTTAATTTAATCTAACCGCAAAGAAAAATTGGAAAGAAAACAAAATAAATTGGTATAATATAATATAATCTAGCGACGGGCGTGAAGCGCCCGTTCGCTAGTTCAATGAAACTCCGATAAAATTCTCATGGAAACTAAGTTTATTCATGAATTTTCGTGTTTATTCTTAGATATTGAGATGCGATTAGGATACCTGGGTCGATTAAGTGATTTACCATTGAATGGTCAGCTTCTTGGATCACATCCAGGGATCACGTCAGATCTTCATCGAACGGGGCACTCAACAGGTAATATAATAAGAAACTTGCAATTTACTTGAGAATTTTTTAATGAAAAATTTATAAATTTGTTTGCACAACAGTCTTACAAACAAAATCCCTGAATAATTCGCATAATTTGGAGAAAAAACCTTCGAAATCTTTTCGAAATTGTCTTGAAAAATCATTGCCTTGAAATAACTTCTATGAAATTATTTCATGAATGTTTCGTTGTCCACAGAAAACAATAATATATTCAAATGGCATTAAGAATAATTTTAATTCTTAAATTTCAGTAGCGAAGTGGTAAAATGGTTCAAGTGAATTTTGACTATTGGTCAGTTTTCAGTGAATATCTCGGGATCTAAGGCAGATAGCATAATTTTTGTTACAGCCTTTTTTGCAGAGCGGATTAAGATCTACAAAAAATGTTATTAGAAAAATTTATCCATCTTCCTCAGATTTGAAGATATTCTTCGAAAACTCAGCTAAGAACTAAATCAACTTAAATCTTTTTACCGTTTCGCTACTGAGTTTTTTTCATCAAGACTAATTTTTATTTCAAAAATATTTTCAGAGCCACCAGCATCGTCAGCGAATCAATTTGCATGGCATCCGTCCGGTGAGATTCACATGTCAATGGGTGGACAAGGAAGTGTCGCCATGAACACCCATAAGCAAGAAAATGAGGATGTTGAAGTCATGTCGACTGATTCCTCCAGCAGTTCATCCAGTGACTCCCAATAAAGATCAATCTCATTCAACTGGTGTAAAGTAGGATCTGTTTTTTATTTAATATTCCCCTCGTCCCTCTGATCTCATGCTCTCGATCTAGTTGAGAATGATTTTGGGTAGAAATAAGTGCAGCATTTCATCGGAAAATACTTTCTGGGGATTTCTCTGGAATTGAAAAATGGAATTTTGTAATAAAATGATTTTTTATATTATATGTAACTGGTTGATATTTAATTCGTGCCTTCTCATCAGTTAGCACCAGGGGAATTTGTTATTTTTATTTTCTATTCATGACGTTTACTTCAACTCGCAACAGATATCAACAGATTTTTTTTAATTCTATTGAGATTTAGATTATTTAGATTTCGATTTAGATTATTTCATCTTCCTCGAAGTGCTGACCAATTAAGGTCCATTAAGATTCAACATGATCTGTTTAGATTTGCAGAATAAAAGTCCTTCTGGTGATAAATAGTGTTAAAGAGAAGAAATTTTTTTTTTTTGGATTTCTATCGAAATTCTATGATGAATTCTATTAATTTTTGGCCGAATCTGTTCAAAAACTCCGCAACATTGCAGCGCGTTTTTAATAGAAAATTTCCAATAAACTATTTTATCGAAAGAGTCAACAGATTTTAATCTTTCTATACAACTTTTTCTATAGAGCCATTTTGTGTATGAATTTCTCGACATAAATTTCCTAAATAAATTTTCAAAAATATTGTTCACTCTATTTTGCTCTTTTCTCATAAAGAAAAAATCAAACAAAAAACGCAGAAAATTTGAGTTGAAGAATTTCTGTAGAAAATATCTCAATAAAACAAGTTGTGGAGAAGCACCAAATTCTGTTGATTTTTTATATAAAATATTTTCTACTGAAAATTTCTATTGAACGAAAAACAGAGGGAAAAATTGTGAAAAAACTAACAGAATATTCAATAGAATTTTCTCACGCATTCGTCATGCAGTATTAAATTATTAATCAGAAAACATAAGCCTTACCTCTTTCTCATGCACCTTAAATTTGCATTTTTGGAAACGAATGTTCCCATCGATGACGTCCAATCCAAAATGCCTGCACTCTTTATGCAATTGTTCCTTACTCTTGAATAGTAAAATTTTCCTGAGATCGTCTCCAGGGTAACACAATTGAGCACTGTTATATGCAGAACTCATTACTTGGAGAGTATCACTGGAAAAAATAAAGTTCTCACGATTTATGTATTTAATAATTTGAGGAGGATTTTCCCAACTAAAATATTCAAAAAGTTCAACAATATAAATTTTTTTCAACAGCATCACTCGATTCTATAAAAAATTGACATAAGGCCAGGGTGTACTATCTTTCGAATGTTATCTGAATTTTTTTTATCTTTCGTAATCCAAAATTGTCAATTGAGCGGTACATCACGTAGAAATTCCCAAAAATTATGATAGAATGATGAAAAAAATGGAAAAAATGTTTAACTCTTTCAAAGAGCGTTTTTAATTAAGATTCAGAATGAGTTGAAAAAAGTGGAAATTACAAATATCTGATTGGCTGTGGCAAATTATCTATTAGCTGTCATTTTCCATGGTGGATAACAAAACACTAACTCCTCATGGTAAGTAACAGCTAGGTATCTCAATTTTCAAAACAGTGGTATGTAGTCATCTCCCATTTTTATGTGATAAAAGTGTGATTAAAAAATTCTCCAAAATATTACAACTTTTTTCAAAGAGCCTTTTCCGTAATAAATGTCTCTGTGCAGTGTGGGAAAAGATTTATGAAATCAGTCTTCTCCCTGCAGGATATTGGGCGACAGGCCGCCATTTGTCACCGTAAATCAGATACATTTTTCAATTTCTTGTTATTCAACTTATTCTGAATATAAATTAAAAATGCTGTTTGAAAAAATTAAGAATTTTATCTACTTTTTTAAAATTATTCATTCATAATTTTGCAAAACTTCTGCATGATGCAGGACTTAATTGACAATTTCAGATGACGAAAGATGAAAAAAAAACATCGAGATAATGTTCAAAAGATAGTACACCCGGGCCTTAAATAAAAACCTAGGTTGTCTCCAAGAAATTTTATTGGAACTCTATAGCTATTTTATTGAAGTTCTCTGAGAATTCTATTGAAAAATGCTATTTTATTAAAAATTATGCAACTCCCCCGTGCGTTTCTGAATAGTTATTTTTTTCTAAAAAAAAAGTCTTTAGATGTTGATTTTTTTACAACTCATTTTGCTGTGATTTTTTCATTAAGAATTCGTGGGCATGAATTTACTTTGTTTTTTCTTTGATTTCATGATGAGAAAAAACATTAAAATACAACAGAAAAAGCTTAGAAAATTTACACCCAAGAATTCCTATGGAGTAACCAAAATGTATAGATTTTTTCTGTTGAATATCTTTTAACAAAATGTCACGGTAAAGTTGTATACACTTCAATAGAATTGATAGAAAAAACAAATAAAATTCCTAAATAGAATTCTAATAGAACTCCAATAGAATTCTTATAGAGTTCCAACAGAAATTCAATAATTTTTTTCGAGAAAAACGCAAGTTATTTCTATAGAATTTTTTAAATTCGTGTCCAATTTCTGAATTTATTTTCTCGATATTTGATTTGGAATTTTAGGTTGAAACGAAATAAAAAAATTATTAGGTCACAATTTAAATTGTTCTGCAGTATAATTACCGTCTTATCCGTGGTAAATTCGACATTGCTGCCATTGCTAATAGAGGAGGTAGTTTAACCATAGTACGACATACTTGCACGTAATTCCTTAGGTACCAGGCGAGAGATATCTTCAACGCCATTTGCATAGTGGGGGAATTCCTGAAGACAAAAAAGCATTCCGCTATTGAAAATTTTTGTGGAAAGTAGGGGAAAGTTCATGTAAATATCCTAATAATTCAGTAGCGAAACGGTAAAACGGTTCAAGTCGATTTTAACTATTGGCCAGTATTCAATGAATACCTCGAAATCTAAGGAAGATAGCAAAATTTTTGTTATAACCTTTTTTATAGCCCTCAATTCGCTCTAGAAAAAAGTCATTACGAAAATTTCGTTATCTCCAATAGATTTGGAGATATTTCTCGTAAACTCAGCTAAGGGCTAAGTTGACTTAAACCGTTTTACCGCTTCGCTATTGAATTGTTACTGATGATACCTATATTCTAATGGAAGACTCAATGCTCTCTCGATTGCTGCACACTCCCCCAGATACAGCAGGACATACAGCGTTTCGATCTGCGCTCTGTTGCTACAAAAAAAATTCTTTGGCTCATAGTCTCGTTCATCGTAACTAACAAGGAGTTCCTTGATGCATTCTAATAAATGCTGATTGTTGAATTTAGGGACGAATTCCTCAAGACTTCTATCACACAATCTGAAAAATTTATCAAAACGAGGTATTTAAAAAATTTAAAAAATTTAAACCTAGTGCATTCGCTAGGAAGTTATGTTAGACTTCTGTTGAAAATTATACGAATTATTTTTCTACGAGTTTTTATGATAATGCAGAAAAGCAAAAGAATTTATAAACTCCATTGGAAATTCCATTGATATTTCGTCAATTCTATTGAACCATTCCACAGCTTTTCTACATGTTTTTTTTTCAATAGAAAATGTTCAACAGAAATTGTCGTATAGATAAAATAAATAGAATTTGATCTTCCTATACAATTTATTCTATTGAGATATTTTTTATAGAAATTTTTCGACATAAATTTCCCCTTTTTTCCCCTCTATTTCTCCCTCTAATGGAAAAAATTACACAAAAAAACTTGGAAATTTTAAAACGGCGAATTTATATGAAAAATATCTCAACAGAATATGTTGCATAGGAATTGTAATCAAATTCTATTGATTTTTACACTGAAAAATTTTCTACTAAACATTTTTATTGAAAAAAATGCAGTGCGAAATTTTTCAATAGAACTTGAACAAAAGTAATAGTAATCATCAGAAGATCTATAGAAATCCCGATTAATTTTTTTTGTTCTTTGGAAAAATGAAAGCTATAGGAAAATTATTAACGAAATGTTTCCAATCTCCTTTGAATTTCGTGGGGCTCAATAGGAAGTAAAGTCCAATTACGAATTAAATTGATTCATTCATTTGTACTTTAGTACTGAATACAAACCTTTGAGCAGCATAAACATGAAACCTGACTATTGGTTCCAGAATTTTGACAGTTATGACGACATCCAGCCTCTGGACAGTCAGATCCTGCCTGACTGCCCTCAGGCGATCGAATATGAAATCGTATATGACTGTCCAATCAACATCTGAACGAGTGGCAATTCTGAAATAGTAGTTAATAGACGATGAACGGATTTAACTTCTCTCTTGCAACTCTGCACGTTTGGAAAAAATTGCAGGCGGCTGCATCTTCGATACAACTGTAAACTTTCGTGGATACGTCCATGGTCTTTCCTTTTTTCTCGAATTTCCTAGAAACTCCCTGACGTTCCTCGAAATTTCTAGAAACTCCTTGAATTCTCTCAAATTTTCTGGGAACTCCTTGAGTTCCCTCGATTTTTCTAGAAACTCCCTGAATTTTCTCGAAATTTCTAGAAACTCCTTGAATTTTTTCGAAATTTCAAGAAACTTCTCGAATTACCTTGAAATGGCTAGAATTTTCTAGAATTATGATAGATGCGCGGACGAAAAAATTGAATAGAAAAACCTATCGAATTCGTTAGAAAATTCTATTGAATTTCTATTGAACTGTTCTATTAGTTTTTGGCCGACTCTATTAAAATGTTCAATAGAAAATATTGAGTAGAAAAAGTCAATAGAATTAAATTTTTCTATGTAACTTATTCTATTGAGATATTTTCTATAGAATTTCCTCGGCTCAAATTTTCTAAGTTTTTTCGTTTGATTTTCTTGATGAGAAGAAAAGAAAAATAGAATGAAAAAAACTTAGAAAATTTGAGTCGAGCAAATTCTATAGAAAATATATGAAAAGAATAAAAATCGAATTCTGTCAACTTTTTCTATTGAATGTTTTTTATTGAACATGTCAACAGAATCAGCCAAAAACTAATAGAAAGTTTAATAGAAATTTAATAGAATTTTCTAACAAATTCGATAGGTTTTTCTATTAACTTTTTTCGTCCGTGTGACGCTGCACATAAGTTGCCCAGAATGACCCCCAATATTGAAACCATAGACGTATCCACGTCAAAAGATTGTTTAGCAAAACGTTAGGTTTTTCTATGAAATAGCTGCATCAATTATAACAAAAGAAAAAATTACATACTCCGTGAATAAGTATTTAACGGTGGAGAGTAGAACTGGCCCCGGCCTCAACTGGTTCAAGTCATGTATCATAAACTTTCCAGGGCCTGATCTACTGTAACATTTTATAATCTTCTCAGGGTCAGCCTTAGGTCTCTTCAGATTATTCTGGGACGCATCAATTTCGAATGAATGTAGTAATCCTTCCTTTTCCCGACTGAAATGAGTCACGAACCGTTTGATTATTCGGTGTCAGTCTGTCAGGAGCTATTCTAAGCTGCTTTAAGAAGGTCCATTTGCACGTATAAAAAAAATTTAACAGGCAAAGAACGACTATTCGACGCAATTCAAGCGAAAAAAATTTATTTTCATTAAATTTTGTTTATCATCTTTTTTTATTACTGGGAGTACTGATGAGAATAATAATTTTCTATTCGTCTTATAATTCAATTGATAATAATTCACTTTTCTTTTTTCATTCGACAGAAAGGTAAATGTTAAGAAAGAGGACCCCACCACCAAAATTTTTGAAAATTTAACCATAGGATCGGTGGTGGGGCCCTCTTTCTTAACATTTATCCATTTGAAAAAACCATCAGAAAGCTCACTTTCAGGAAAATTCATGAAAAATTTAAAAGTTTCAACAATCATCATAAAAATAAAATCAACCAATATAGCTATCGTAATCATCTTTCAACTTCAACTTAATGGCATTAAAAAAACATTTTAAGCTATGATTGAATTAATTTGAAGCATGATATTCAAAGAAATCCCTGGCATTCTGATTTTCAAAAAATACAAAATTTTTGAAAATATTCAAATAAATCAAAATAACGATTATGACTATCGTCTTCATCTTCGAACTCGGTCAAAGGGACATCCAAACAAATTTTTTAAGCCATCATTCAATCAATTCAGAACATTTTTTTTAGTTATCTTGGGACAACCGATTTGAAAAATCGAAAATTTAAAAAATAATAAATGGACTGAATTTTAATTAATATCGATGGAAGGGGCTCAACAATACCTACTTTTGAGAAAAAGGTATGATTTAATTCCATGGATTCATTAGCGAAGAATTGAAGGCAAACTTTACCACACACATAGGGGAGAGTGGGGTAAAATGGACACTTTAGACTTTTGTTTTAATTACTCATAACTCAGAAACAAATTTATCAATTGAGCTCAGTTTAAGCTCATCACAAAGGGAAAGAATTGTTCTTCGCAATGAAAAAAGGATTATTAAATTTTATCAACATTTCAACGCGTCATTAACATTTAAAAAAAAGTCAAAAGTGTCCATTTTACCCCAACCTCCCCTACGGACACGATCTAAAACTTGCATTTTCGAACTTTTTGGCTCATAACAGGTCGATATAACACAAAAAATCCTAAACTTCAATGATTGAATGATGAAATGAAAAACTTGAACGATTACCGAAACTTAGAAAATCCCTGATAGATCAAACCCAGAGTTAATTCTGGGTCAAATCTGGGTTTGATTCATCAGGGATTTGAACTGATTTAAATTTTATAAATTCTTTAGAAAATATCTCAATAAAAAAAGTTGTGTAAAAAAATCTAATTCTATTAACTTTTTCTACAGAATATTTTCTACTCAACAAATCAATAGAATCGGCCAAAAACAAATTTAAAAAAAGAAAGTTCAATAGAAATCCAATTATCTATATACCGAATTCGCTCGGTTTATCTATTAAATTTTTTGTGCGTGTGACCTCACCTTCCCCTCTTTGACTTTTAATTAATATCTTTGATACTTACAACCGTCGCTCCTCATCAGGGCACATCAACGAACACGTCCCCAGGATCGAGCCTGACATGATCTCCCCAAACAATTCCCTTATGCACAAATAAACATGCAAAGGTGCTTCAACTTAAAATGATTTACATACTATAACCGATGTAAATAAAGAACTCTCCGTTTCCCTCCTTCAAGTTCTATAAAATCTCTATAATTATGGAATTTCAGTAGGCGGTTATCACATGGCATGTGACAAAACCCCCACAGCACCAGAAAAATCCAGGCAATAAAGCAGAATAAAGTTTGTTATTGTTTGGGAGACGTTGAGTATCAGGTGGTCAGTTCTCACACTAACGGCGCTGTCTTCCTCCCCTTCGCATTTTGTAAACACGTACATAACCTCGTCCCATCATTGTTGCTGTTGATCATCACTCTGATGATGACAACTATCAACAGCCCCAAGTTGGAGGTGCAGTGGTCCCCGGTTCATCACAACAAATTTATAACCTGGGGAACCGAGATATGCCTCTACGAAGTTGGACAGATCAAGGACATCGTGCGATCCTCATGTAAGCACATTTAATAAAAATCGAGAAAGTTTAATATAGAATATCCTAGCTTTTTACGAAATTCTGCTGAATTACTGTTAGAGTTCTATTAGAAAATTCTGGAACGGAAGGTATGGCAAAATGGATACTTCAGAGGTATTTTTTAATATTTAAGGGAGAGTGGGGTAAAACGGCCTCTTTTGACTTTTTTTTGTGATACTCATAACTCAGAAACAAATTCATTAATTGTGATCAGTCTAGGCTCATTCTAAAGGGGAAGAAGTGTAGTTTCCATGAAAAAAAAATGATCCCATTTTATTTAAAATTGAATGAGCTAACATTTTTGAAAAAATCAAAAGGGGCCGTTTTACTCCACTCTCTCCTATAAATGAGGAATAAATTGATCACTTGAGCTCAGTCTGGGCTCATCACAAGGAGACATGCATTAAAAAATTGAATAGAAAACCTAGCGAATTCGCTAGAAAATTTTATAGAAATTCTAAAGGAATTCTATGGGATTTCAATAGGATTTCTATTGGAATTCTATTGAAAAATTCTATTTGTTTTTTGCGCTGATTCTATCGGATATTCGATAAGAAAAAGTCAATAGATTTCGAATTTCTGTTGGAAATTTTCTATTAGAATTATTGGGCACAATTTTTCTAAGTTTTTTCCGCTGGATTTTGTTTTGTTTTGCATTGCAGAAGTGGGAAAAACTTAGAAAATCGATGTCCAAGCATTCTTATAGAAAAAATCTTAAGAGAAAAATTCAAACAGAAATTTGAAATCTATTGATTTTATTTTTTATTTATTGACCTTTTTCTTTTTTCGAATGTCCAATAGAATCGGCGCAACAAACAGAATATCTCAATAGAATTCCAATAAAAATCCTATAGGAACCCCATAGAATTTCTGTAGAATTGCAATAGTTTTTCAACGAATTCGCTAGGTTTTCTCTTGAAGTTTTTCATGCGTGAAAAAAAGTGAACTCTTCAAAATTTCAAGTCATCATCTCCATCCTGCTTTCAAATGAAAGCATTGTAATCATCCAATTTTCACATTTTTCAATTTTGCTTGGAAATTATGTAGAATGGCCTGAAACGTAAAAATACGAAGTTTGGCGATCATGTCTGTATGACAACTTTTAGAAGATTGGGTAATTAAGTGGGTAAAATAATTTCAAAAAATCAGAAAATTTGTCAGATCATAGGTCTCAATGAGGACTAGGGTAAACTGCCCAGTAGATAGACGTTTGTTTTTTAGCAATTGAAAAAAAAATTGATCGAAAAACAATCGTCACTCATGGGTTAAAAATCACAACAGTTAGTGAAAATTCAAAGCAACAATTCACATTTCAGTATTTTTTTTGCGTAATTTTCTATCCAAAAGTAGCTCATCCATCTATAAGGCACACGGAGAGAAATATTCAATAAAAATTACCAGAAAAAAGATGTAAAAATGACGTTTCGAAACGTAATCTGGGAGCGAAGTAAAATTCAATAAAAAGTGTCAATCGTCACGTAAATTCTACGATCTGTTACGTAAAAATTACTCATCCTTCCGACGCCTCAGGGCTAGCCATAAGTCACCGTGAGGGGGAGATTTTAACACGTTCCGTAATTTTTCCGGAATTTTTCGTAAAAATTCTTAAACATCCAAGAATTTTCATGTTCTGAGGCATAATAAGTCTTGAAGTTTCTATTAGATTTTACAACTTCCAGAAAAATTACGTGACTTTTTCGTATTTTTTTGGTGACAGACCTGAAAATTTACTGAATGTTTCAGATTTATTCTCTTATATTCCTATAGAAATTCACTGAAAACGATTCTCGCTTGCGGATTACGTGAAATGTTCCGTAATTTTTCTTGAATATTTCTCTCCATGCACTGTCCATCTACTGGGTAGCTTACCCTAACTCTGTAAAAAATTTCAGCCCGGTCGATCTAATAGTTTTTGCGAAAAATTAACTCGTTTTTAAATAGTTTTCCGCAAATATCTTCAAAACTAGTGGACCGATTTCGATTTTTTTTGTTTTCAAAATATTTGTTTCGATGCCTTCTATCGAAATCAATCAAAACATACACCCGTTCATACAAAGTTTTCCAGATATTCCCATTTGTGTGTTTTATCATAAAAAACTTCGTAATCACCCGCAAAAAAAGTTAATAGACAAACCTAGCGAATTCGCTGGACTATTGTATTGAATTCCTATTAGTTTTCGGCCGATTCTCTTCGCATTCCCGATGTTCCTCTCTGTCTTTCCCATTCCTGCGGGGGCCATTGCCATCCTCCAACATTTTAACTCTCCCTCCTCTCGCCGCCACTTTCAATTTCCAGCCCTTTTTGATCAATTTATTCATCTCAATGTCTTCTTCAGTCAAGATTTGCACGGCCATACCACCAAAATAACTTTTAGAAAAATTCTCAAGTGTCCATTTTGTCCCATTGTCCCCTGAAAAATATGTGACTTTCCCTTGCGTTTTTCAATAGATATTTATTTATAGAAAAAAAATATACAGATGTTGATTTTTCCATATAACTCATTCTACCGGAATTATTCCTATGAGAATTCTCGAACAAGAATTTTCTAAGTGTTTTCTTCTTAGATTTCATCATGCGAAACAAATGAAAATACAGTCGAGTCTTTATATAAGATACCTCTCTATAAGATACCTATGGCCTCGATCATTTTTCAACAAGAAAATAGTGATTATAAGGATTAAATGGGGTTAAGGGTCACACCTGAGGGACGAACGAAGTGTTCATAAGGGTCAAATGAACTTAAGGGTCAACAGTTCAAACGTGAGAGTCAAGTGAAGTAATCAGAAGGGTTAAACGATCCCAAGGGTCACCTCTTTTCTTCGACGCTGTAATTATCAAAATGATGACGCAGAATTATCTTGATAGAATAAAGCCTAATTAAAATTCAATTAATTTACGTACTTTCAATAATTTGTACTTCAGCTGTCCAGAAGTAATTATTCTCAAGTCCTCCAACATCAGCTGCCATTCTATCACGCTGGGTTATTTTTAGAGAGAAAAGCTAACGCGGGCTATACGAATTCAAAACATTAAACTCGTATAAATTGATTAGTTAACAATATCCATTCAGTAAAAATGAATATTTCAAACCACTGATCCCTATTTTCCTCCTCTCTATAAGTGCGCTTAGTGGGGTGTGACGTGAGAGGTTTTCTACCTCCCTTAATTGAGTCACCAGTCGACTCAAAAACTTTTGCTCAACTAGCTACGGTCAGAGCTCACGCGGATTTCTCTCAAGATCTAACGTGACGCGACTAGGATAGGATTTGATTAGGTATTCTTCGTATAAAACAATCGAGCACCACTGTTACATTAATAATTGACAGTATATTGAATAGATAGGTAAAGTATAAAATCAACTGTTAAATGGGTTCGGTTTCGACGCGGATCTACTATAGATTTTTGGCTAGGAGAGGACGTCCGTCCATCTTCAACTCCTGCCGTACTCTGCCCTATTCCAGAGCTTCAAAGTCGTTGCTGGCCGAAAATGCTAAATAAGTGTTCTCACGGTTTTTCTAACTAACACGGCCATATGTCCATCACTGACAATGGCTAAGACAATCAAACAGCTCCATTCTGAGAAGCTGGACTCAGGTGTCACCGTGAGACTGCTTATTGAGCATTTGGGACTTTTTCTATCTAGAAAATATTAATTGAATAAAATCGACGTGTGAATATCTCCACACGTCACAGGGGGTATACGAAATCCCAGAATTCCACTCTCCTACTATCCCTAAGGTATCTTATATAAAGCCTTGATTATACAACGGAAAAAGCTGGGAAAATTTACGCCCCCGAATTTCTATAGAAAAATAAAAATCGATAATCTATATTCCTATAAAACACCCCCCCCCCTCCACCAATTCAATTAAACTCCCGCCTCCCCCCAGGCAAACGAATCTCCGAGAGGACAGTGGCCCACCAGTTGGCCACAAACTCGAGCCACCCCTACGTCCGCTGCGTGGACATTTACCCCCAGCCCAACCCCGACATTCTCCTCGCCGTGGGCCTAGCCAACGGTAAAGTGGTCCTCACGACCTTCGGTCCCACGGCCTTCGACGCCCTGAGCCTCACCGGCAAAGAGCTTCCTCCAAAACACGCGCGCCAATGCAACGCCGTCTCCTGGAACCCACTAGACCCAAACCTCCTGATCTGCGGTCTCGACAAGTACCGAACAGACCACTCGATCCTCCTCTGGGACATCGTCCGGAGTCAGAACGTCACGACCTCGGGGCTTGACCGCCAATCCCTGCACCATCACACAACGGTAAGTCAAGCGGATCACAACGCGACATTGAAACCCCTCGCCGAGGCCGGCGTCTCCGAGACAACTCACTCCCTCAGCTGGTTCCCCAACGAATCGAGATGTTGCGTAGCGGGTGTTAACAACAAGCAACTGAAGATAATCGACTTCCGGGATTCAGTCCGCGTCGTAAACTCCACCCCCACGAAATCCGTGTACAGCGTTGCGGTGAACCCCCACAACTCGTTCCACCTGGTGTCCCACGTGGAGAACCAGATTACAATCTGGGACACTAGGTACTTCGAGAAGCCCGTGCTCACCCTTCCCCAGAGCCGACCGGTGATCAAAGTCCTCTGGTGTCCCACGCGTCACAACCTCTTGGGGACCATCCAAAAGGACTCGAACGCGCTGTACCTCCACGACATCCAGCACTGCGGCAACAGCGCTGCAGCCGGAACCGCCGAGAGCGAACCCAACGGGATCGTCGTGGGATCCAGCGGGGGTGGGAGTGTCGGGGTGAACAGCGAGGAGACTGAACCCGGGGCGTTGGAGAGAACGGTCATTCCGCCCTGGACGTCGTACCCCACGAGCTTCTCGTGGCATCCGCATCACGTTAACAGGCTTCTGGCCATATCTCATCAAGGGGCTCTGAGCGACTACACGGTCTACGAGAGGATCACCATCAATTGGTCGACCAGGTCACACATCGCGTGGAACCACGCTTCGAAGGCTATCAAGTACTTGAGCAGCTCTGACAGCATTTACAGGGGATTCGACGACATCGCGATTCTCGTTAAGAAACGGGCGTTCACGGATTACGGACTTCTGCCGGAATTGTCGCAGAATGGGGAGCTGGCGGAGAATGATCAGCTGAGGAACTTGTGGCATTGGTTGTATCTCAGTCGATCGTTAGTCGAGGACGAGGTGATTCCCTCTGGGGATAACAAACATCCCGGGGTGAGGACCGTTATGAAGCTTGATGGCTTGTCCAACAGCTTCATAAAGTCGGAGTTGATTAATCGTCCGTGGACGGACATCGGGTCGACTAGTCACACAGCTAAGATCTACAAGTCTCCGGACAGGGACAAAGCCCTGCAGCTCTGTGGCTGGAGGTTTGATGTGCAAAGCAAGGAATCGGTGTTTGAGGAGAAGAATAATCTGTTCATAGAGCGGTTGGAGCGGGAGGGGAATTATGCCAGAGCCACAGCTATCTCGGTCTTCAATTTGTGCTTGAGGCAGGCTATCGAGATTCTGAATAGGGGTGCCAACAAGATGCCGGCTTCCACGAATTTGAACATCGTGGCGATGGCTTTGTCCGGGTTTTCGGAGGATCGGAACAGCATGTGGAGGGAATTGTGTCTCAAGTCTAGGGCGCAGTTGTCGGATCCTTATTTAAGGGCAACTTTTGCTTTTCTTACGGCGGATAATGACTCGTATGAGGCGGTTCTCAATGAGGGCGGGGTGGCTGTCGAGGATCGAGTGGCTTTCGCGCTCATGTTCTTGTCGGACTCGAAGTTGGCGGAGTACCTGAAGAAACTTACGGTCAAGTTGACGGAGGAGGGGGATCTGGCGGGGTTCTTGCTGACGGGGGCCACTATGGATGGGATTCAGCTGCTGAATAGGTATTTATGTGGTTTTTTACTGGAGTATCAACGGTCTAGGCGAATTATAGGGTCTAAGCGTTATAAAATATTTGCCGGGGAGTGATCACTTTGAAGAAACTTGTACAGTGGATTTCAAGGTTTCAATGCTTTAACGACTCTGAAATGTTTTTTTTGGGATTGCAAGGGATTTCATAAAATCTTTGGAAATTGTCGCATTCCAAAGGCACTCAGAGAAATTTAATACACTTTTAAACAACTAAAGTGGAGTTCCAAGATTCTGAACACATTTCAAGATATCAATGTTTCAAGAACTCTGAAATGTTTTTTGGTATTTCGAGGGATTTCATGTCATCTTCGGAAATTGTCGCAGATTTTAAAGATTTCAGAGGATTTTATAACATTTAGTAGATTTCACAGAGCTTCAAGGAAATTCAAAGATTTTCTAAGGCATTCTGAGAAATTGACTTCACTGAGAAAAAAAATTACTTTTGTCAAGGAATCATTTTCTTGGGAGAAGAATCTATTTTTTTAGGAGCGCATTCTCCTAACCAGTTTTTCCCAGGTGGTTGAAGTCCATCTCCAAATATTACCATTATGCTAAATTATAGGATGATTATGCTGTATATGATTTTGAATGAACTTCATTGACAATTATTGACATTTAGAATTATTACAAAATATTTTACGTAAAAAAATCTCAAATTTCAAAAAATCGAAAACTAATGAAGGGTGTTCATTCAAGGTCATATGTAGCATCATCATCTCATAATTAAACATAATTGTAACATTTGGAGATGGACATGGACCACCTAGGAATGACTGACTTGGAGAAGTACGCTCTTAAAAAAAAATTCTTCTCCCAAGAAAATGATTCCTTGGCAGAAGTAATTTTTTTTCTCAGTGTTCATCATTTAAAATTTAATTTATCATATACTTTCAACAACTAGAGTGGAAACCCACGATTATTCACAGTTCATACATCTCTGCATATTATGATGAATTTGAAATAAAATTTTAGGCGGGATTCTGCTGAGAATTAGAAAGCTTTCTTGCAATTTAATTCAATTTATCTGTAACCAATTCAGGTGAAAGCCTATCGAATAATAATAAAAATAACAATAATATAGAAATATTCAAACACTCAAAACATGAATTCAATGAATTAAATTAAATTAAATTGTGAAGGAATTTAAGAAATTGCTATTTTTAAATTTCTTCACAAAGATTCTGGGATTTCATACGATTGCGTAACATTCACGTTAACATCAGAGCCCTAAAATAACGCAAATAAAAAAAAAATACTTTATACATACCTCTTAACGACTTGACCCAGGTACCTGCAGATCACGGGAGACGTCCAGAGCTGCAGCTTGATAGCGATCAGAGCGTTATCCTCGAAACTCCTTCAGGAGAATCAAGTCCAAGTATGGATTGAGAGTTACAAGGGGTTGTTGGACGCCTGGAAGATGTGGAATCAGCGGGCGCAGTTTGATATTGTTATGAGATCGTCAACGAATGAGAAACCACCGCAGCAGGTTTACATTTCCTGCAATTTCTGTGGGAAGAGCATATCGGCTTTCATGCAGGGCCTCAGTCGGGCTAGGGGACCCTTCGGGAGACTGGGGAACACCTCGAATAAATTGAAGATGTCGTCTTGCCCGAGCTGCAGAAAACCACTGCCTCGGTGCGCTATTTGTCTCATGCACATGGGGACGGTCAGTGGGTTTCAGGTGAATATCACTGGGGTTGGTGGGATGGCCAGTAGGAATGATGAGGACGGGAAGCTCACGGAGTTTGGGAATTGGTTCACCTGGTGCCAGAGCTGCAGGCATGGAGGGCATACGGATCATATTACTCATTGGTTTGGGCAGCATACCGAGTGCCCGGTTACCTCTTGCACCTGCAGGTGTTTCTCGTTGGATGCGTCTCATGTCATTGGGGGGAATACATTGTGAGAAGGAAAGGGAGAGGGGGAATTGTATGATATGTATATTGGTAATAAAGTTTTTCTTGTATATTTGAGCTGTTTCTGTTCAAATAATATAGATACTTAAGAGGAATCATCTGTCATTTAACTAGAAAGTTTAGCCGTCTGTATGCCTGGCTCTTTGTAATAACCGTCCATCAGCACGCATGATAAAGTGAATTACGAGACATGAACTGTGAAAAAAATAAATCCGGATAATTGAGGAGATAATTCAGGCATTTTTCAACAATCATATCGAAATTATTTTCGTCTTCTCATCCTGTACTAGATCAAGATTATAAAAACAATTACTGCTGATTATATAAAACTGCGATTGAGAAATTACGCTAAAACCCAAATACTAGAAGCTTTAGGCTCGAGAGCGACTCTTCGACAGAAGTTAACCAAACCAATTCTGTGTTATAACGTTCAAATGTTTATGAATTTTTGAAAAATGATCATTCACATAGAATGAATTGTGCTTCTATCTAGGAAATGATTAATTGTAGGAAAAAATATAAGATCTTTTTTGTGGCTGTATAAATTTCTGACAAAAATAGTCTTTTGACATTTCGTCTCAGAATTCCTCTTTATAAAGACAGAGCAACGTTTAATGGGATGGAGGAATTGCGTGGTAATACTTAACCAGCGCATCACACGTCTTGACATGTTCTCAATATATATTTAACCCGTCAAGTACGGCGCCCATATCGCGCGGTATATCCTCATCGGCCCGCGGTCTCCCGTCTATATATGCGCATTCTCTGGTCAATATGCAATAATTTCTACACTGATGATAAAAAAATTATCCGAAAATTTAATGATAATTTTGATCTCTCACCAATAAGTTGTTCAATTACGGTATTCGTTTATACAGATTTATCTGGAATTTTTAAGACTAATTTCAGTTCGATTGTACAAACGGTTGTCAACATTGGCGATTGTCAGAAATTTGTTAATAACAAATCCGTAATTTTTTGAATCGAAATTTCGTTTGCGCTATTCGACAAAGGAATGTATAGAGTATGTTCAGTAAGAATTTCAGAATTTTTTATGAACATTAGCTCGATAAACGAGCGGTTTGAATATGCATCTGATACCGAATTCAGTTCCGTATTGTTTGTGTTTAAAAATCTTTAATATAATATTAAAAATGACTTGAAAAAAAATCGAGTCACATTGTGTTGATAATTTTATCTATTTCGTGCGGAAATTTTTAGGATTTCGATATCTACAGTAGTACGAAAGATAATGAATTTTTATTAATCACGGAAAGGGTCTATAGGACATATAGACGCCGTACTTGAAAAGTTAATGAAGGCGAAAGGAGATTTGAAGATTGAGACTTCACTTTACATCCTATAAGTCTTAAAAAATATAGTGGGTATTAAAAAGTGTACACGGAGAGAAATATTCACGAAAAATTACAGAACATTTCACGTAATTCGGAAGCGAGAATCGTTTTCAGTGAATTTCTATAGGAATATAAGAGAATAAATCTGTCACCGAAAAAATACGAAAAAGTCCCGTAATTTTTATGCAAGTAAAGTCTAACAGAAACTTCAAGACTTATTACGCCTCAGAACATGAAAATTCTTGGATGTTTAAGAATTTTTACGAAAAGTTCCGGAAAAATTACGGAACGTGTTGTTAAAATCTCCCCCTCACGGCTAGCCGTGAGGCGTCGGACGGATGAGTAATTTTTACGGAATAGATTGTAGAATTTACGTGACGATTGACACTTTTTATTGAATTTTACTTCGCTCCCAGATTACTTTTCGAAACGTAATTTTTACGCCTTTTTTCTGGTAATTTTTATTGAATATTTTTCTCCGTGTACGTAAGGTCCAAGTTGGAAATTGCTTTTGTCTTCACATAACAGCCATTCTTGCTATTAAATTAACAACAGGTTTTCGAATGGTCATTTTACACATCATTTTCTTCTATCATATATTATTTATCGTTTCATATTATTTTGTTCAATTGCGTTATTTGTCTTTTTCAATCAATTGTGTTGGATTCTCGTATTCCCCTAACTTCCTTCGTGTTGGAAAGTTGAAAAAATCAAACACATTATTTTGTTATGGTCCAAAATGTCATTATTAGTAACAGTAGAAGTATGCGAGACGTGACTAAGTGCTTGGAAGCCATATTGATCGAAGATCTTGAGGTATGATTTCGTCATTCTATCGTTTATTGGAGCATATATTGCTGGATTTGGCTATTTTTCACGGGCTTTACTTTTCGATTTTGGCAAACTGTTGATCAGATTGTCGCAAAAAATATCTCGTTTTCGCGTTTATCCTTACTAGTCCATACGCAAAATCTCCCAGTTTAGCGCTCTGCAATCAAAACATCACGATTAAATTGATTCAGGTGTGTGGTGTATCATACCGGAAGTGAATCTCAAGATTATTATTTCCGTTAATAATTAACTTCCGTTAATCAAAGATACACGGAGAGAAATATTCAATAAAAATTACGTATCTTTTCCGTAATTCCGGAACGAAATATGCTTGTAGGAAATTTTACGGAACCGTCACGGAATTTTCCCAGAGCATTCCGTAATGTTTATCTGAATCGCTCGTGAAAAATTACAATACCGTCACTTAAATTTTCCGAATCGATTCCGTAATTGGTGAGCTAACACAGTTCCGTAATTTTTACTGAACATTTCTCTCCGTGTGCTTAATAATTCAATAATTCTAGGCTGGCTCATGTATCTTTTCCATAAAAAGTCTATAACACTCGCATATTTCTCAGTGTATTCCAATATTTACTCAATTCACGCACGAAAAAATTAAATAGAAAAACCTAGCGAATTCTGCGATTCTATTGAAGTGTTCAATGAAAAGTATTCTATAGAAAAAGTCGAAAAATAATATTTTTGTAATATTTTCTGTTGAACATTTCAGTAGAATCGGCCAAAAACTAATAGAAAGTTCAATAGAATTGTCTTCCGAATTCCCTAGGTTTTTTATTAGATGTGTTCATACGTGTTGAGACAGANATGAAAATTCTTGGATGTTTAAGAATTTTTACGAAAAGTTCCGGAAAAATTACGGAACGTGTTGTTAAAATCTCCCCCTCACGGCTAGCCGTGAGGCGTCGGACGGATGAGTAATTTTTACGGAATAGATTGTAGAATTTACGTGACGATTGACACTTTTTATTGAATTTTACTTCGCTCCCAGATTACTTTTCGAAACGTAATTTTTACGCCTTTTTTCTGGTAATTTTTATTGAATATTTTTCTCCGTGTACGTAAGGTCCAAGTTGGAAATTGCTTTTGTCTTCACATAACAGCCATTCTTGCTATTAAATTAACAACAGGTTTTCGAATGGTCATTTTACACATCATTTTCTTCTATCATATATTATTTATCGTTTCATATTATTTTGTTCAATTGCGTTATTTGTCTTTTTCAATCAATTGTGTTGGATTCTCGTATTCCCCTAACTTCCTTCGTGTTGGAAAGTTGAAAAAATCAAACACATTATTTTGTTATGGTCCAAAATGTCATTATTAGTAACAGTAGAAGTATGCGAGACGTGACTAAGTGCTTGGAAGCCATATTGATCGAAGATCTTGAGGTATGATTTCGTCATTCTATCGTTTATTGGAGCATATATTGCTGGATTTGGCTATTTTTCACGGGCTTTACTTTTCGATTTTGGCAAACTGTTGATCAGATTGTCGCAAAAAATATCTCGTTTTCGCGTTTATCCTTACTAGTCCATACGCAAAATCTCCCAGTTTAGCGCTCTGCAATCAAAACATCACGATTAAATTGATTCAGGTGTGTGGTGTATCATACCGGAAGTGAATCTCAAGATTATTATTTCCGTTAATAATTAACTTCCGTTAATCAAAGATACACGGAGAGAAATATTCAATAAAAATTACGTATCTTTTCCGTAATTCCGGAACGAAATATGCTTGTAGGAAATTTTACGGAACCGTCACGGAATTTTCCCAGAGCATTCCGTAATGTTTATCTGAATCGCTCGTGAAAAATTACAATACCGTCACTTAAATTTTCCGAATCGATTCCGTAATTGGTGAGCTAACACAGTTCCGTAATTTTTACTGAACATTTCTCTCCGTGTGCTTAATAATTCAATAATTCTAGGCTGGCTCATGTATCTTTTCCATAAAAAGTCTATAACACTCGCATATTTCTCAGTGTATTCCAATATTTACTCAATTCACGCACGAAAAAATTAAATAGAAAAACCTAGCGAATTCTGCGATTCTATTGAAGTGTTCAATGAAAAGTATTCTATAGAAAAAGTCGAAAAATAATATTTTTGTAATATTTTCTGTTGAACATTTCAGTAGAATCGGCCAAAAACTAATAGAAAGTTCAATAGAATTGTCTTCCGAATTCCCTAGGTTTTTTATTAGATGTGTTCATACGTGTTGAGACAGACGAGGAAGTTGAGTGAGTCATGCACTTCATCCCGATACTAACGTCAATAATCCGTCGCAAAGTTTCTTTATCTTTCCCCTCTCTATGACATCATGTTCGTGATATTTTTCTATGTCCAGATGTTTCAATGTTCACAATTTTCTCGCGATTCGATAGTAGTTATTAATAGTTCTTAACGTTTCGAGGAGATGGACATTCATACTCATTTTTAACCGGTAAATGTAGAAAATTTGAACGTCAATATATTTTGAAGCGGCCTGAAGACCTGAAGGCCTGTTTGTATTCCAATTTATTTTTCATATTTTTAGTTTAATATGCCCTCATTCTGCTTTAGAATCATATTGAATTTGATGAAACGTAAAAATATAAAGTTTCGGGATTATTTCCCGTAATCTGATTTCAACCAATCAGAGTCCAGTGTTCGCAATCACGCGACGTTTCATTGATAATTCTCCCCTTGATAATGATCTCAGTACAATCTCCCATCAATCGAATGGCACCACTCGACGTTATCTTGCATAGCTTACGCGCTACCCGAGTGGAAATTTTAGTCAGGTCTTGATCAGACAGTGATCAGGTTACCTTATCAGATTTTGATCAGGTATGTAACGGTATAATTTTGAATTTTCCACTAGGGTATTCAATTGCTAATTTTTTTTAAATTCAATTGATTATTTTTCTCACTCGAATTTCAGCCAATCAGAGCACGGTATTTGAGGCTGTCAAGCAGTTTTATTTCGGAAATTTCTAAAAAATTTCCGACGGAAATTCATTAGTAGCTTTTCAAATGTTTCTCATCTTTCAATGCATTTCACGTTTAATATTCTGTGTGACAGATAAACAAAAAAGTGGATTGTAAATGTATGGCTGTGTAAATGTATCCGGATGCTGTTCACTGCACTCTGATTGACCGAAATCCGAGTGGAAAAATAATCCGTCAAATACTACTCGTGCTTCAAAATTAATCGCATATTTTCCTCAAGGTTCCCTGCTTAGGAACGAGTGTGTCAAATTTTGCAGGTTTAAAATTTTTCTGCAAGGCTATAACACTCGCATATTTCTCAGTGAATTCCAATATTTACTCAATTCACGCACGAAAGAATTAAATAGAAAAACCTAGCGAATTTTCCGATTCTATTGAAGCGTTCAATGAAAAGTATTCTATAGAAAAAGTCAAAAAATTATATTTTTCTATAGAAAAAGTCAAAAAATTATATTTTTCTAATATTTTCTGTTGAACATTTCAGTAGAATCGGCCAAAAAACTAATAGAAAGTTCAATAGAATTGTCTACCAAATTCCCTAGGTTTTTTATTAGATGTGTTCATACGTGTTGAGACAGGCAAGGAAGTTGAGTGAGTCATGTACTTCATCCCGATACTAACGTCAATAAAATTCAGGGGTGAAATTTTTCTGCAAAATTTGACACAATCGTTCCTAGGCAACGAAGCTATCGGAGAATATCCGATAATTTTGAAGCACTAGTGGTATTACTACTGATAAATTTTTGGGTAGTGTGTACTATAGCGCGTCCACTACTCATCAAATGGAAGTGTGCGGAACTGAATTGCCAATATTGTGAATTTATAAATCTTTGGTAGATAGATCCACTCACATATTTACATGGATAGCCGGGTAGATGGCTGGGATAGATGAGAATCCAATAAATTAAGTCATTTAAATTTTTTTCCGGAAATCCACAGGGACTAACTTTTGGGTGGTATTGTTATGTCCGCCCAGATGTCACTAGGGCAACCAGCGCCAATTTCAAAATTGGCGGAAAGGGTTGGCAGGAACGTTTGCAACTGAAGCCCGGATGGGCAATCCAACGAAGTCCAACAATTATCTCATGAAATCTCTGCTAAATCCTTGACTTGATGATTAATAATTATGAGGAACAGGTTATTTAAAATAAATCCAACACTGAGTGCTTCGGGAGAGCACGTAAACTATTTATTCAATCAACAAAACTTCAAAACTCTAATTATTTGAAAAGGTAAAAGATCTGAACTCTGAAAACTATGTCGTAGAACTGCCTCTAGATATTCAAAAACTGCCCCTCGAAGGGTCTTACTTCCCCTACTCTTTTCCAAAGTTGCGCACGCATCTCCTATGTTCTTACATGCTAATAGAAACTGAAGGGAGAAAGCTAGGCGACGTTGCGATGCAGTCAACGTTGCCTAGTCTCTCAACTTTGGGACACACGTGTTCCAGGAGAAAATGACGTTTCTCACAAGGAAACAAAGGACACAAAAGGAGGTCTGTTCATGATTAGTCATGGACCCTCTTGGAAAGCAGACGCATAAAATTTTACGATGTTTATGGCGACTCGAGAAAAATCAACAGAAACCCGATATTATTTCAGAGTGTTTATTCCTATGTTTATTTCAACGGTCTATATTTTCCTTTTCTTCCAATGGACCTCTATATTCGAAAATTGAAATAATGCATCGTTCTTCTCCGGAAAACACGTGCCCCAAATACGCAGTATAAAATAAAAGAAGGATAAAATAATTATTTAAATTCAATTATTCTGATCAGACTAATATTTAAATTGCCCGCCAGGTGTGCATAACGCCACCTAGTTACGAAGGGCCAGCGACATAACAGTATTGTCTTGGGATACACCATAAGTCATTGGGAAGCCCCTATTTATACGCCGACGGCTTGACTGAAGAAAAGAGAAACAGAGAGAGAAAATCTGTTACAAACCTCGTACCGTTGCCAGTGATCCTCCTGCGCATTCTTATTGTTAAGGATAACCGGGCGAGGAGGAAATGTAGGAGGTGAGGCGGAGGGGTTTCTATTGTTTTCGTGCAGAGAAACAATCGCTGAACAAGAAAACTTTTCCCATTCGGATTCAAAATTCAGGCAATATTAGGGAGTATCTCCGGTTAAAAATTATTTTTGGAGCTAATCAAATTTATTTGTATCTGTTCCACGCATTGAATGGTTTTCAGATTGTTTTCTTTTAATAAATGAAAAAATATTAATCGATGCGAAACAGTGGCAACATTGTGATGTCTTGACGTTGAAATTTATAGATGGGGCTATTAATCGGCCATAGCAGTCCGCGAGATTCAAATTATTGTTGGAAAATAATTTAAATAGTTCAGAAAATTAAAAATATACCAGAAATAGAAGAATAAAGAAAGTCTGGAATACAATGGACAAAGAGAACGAAAAACAGCATCGCAAGCGTGAGAAAAACCGTTACGGAAATAGTAAATGTCAAATACTTGAGTTTTGTTCTTATAATTTACAACCCTCCAAAATTCTCGTTGAGTAAACACTTTCCTCGAAAATCCAAAATTTANACACTTTCCTCGAAAATCAAAAATTTAGAGAAGAAAATAAATTTAACGGTTACGGTCCCATGTCGTAAAATCTCAGTTCTGGTTATTTCGAAAGGTTCTCTGTTTCACGTGACTAACACGTGTGGGCTCTCCTTTGTTCATTGTTTCGCTAGGCTGAGGGCCTGAGACCCTTCGCGACGAAGTTTCACGACGTCACACGCTCCCCTTCTTCCTCTTTTTTCATTTCCCCGCTTTTCCTTGAGTTTCACTTTTCCCTCTCCCCTGGGCCGGGATTGCACGCGCAACTTTTGGTCCAGTGGGGTTGCGGACCCAACCCTTGGAGTTAAGTTTAAGTTTAAGGCAGTTCCATCGTGGAAATTGGTGGTGAAGCCTTCAGCTTCCAGCTTCTCTCTTCAAATAGTTTTTCAGTAGAGTTTTTCTGGAGTTTATTAAATTCATTTCTTGTAGTGCAAAGTTTAAAGTCTGAAGTTGAAGTATTTTGAATAAAAGTGTTTGTGTGCTCTCTTAAGCACTTGTGTTGAATTTATTTCACAATTCAACCCTTCCAACCAAATATTCTGGGATTAAACAATTGGACTTCGATGGAGTGCTCATCAGAGCTTTGGCGGCAAACGAATCTACAGTCAAAAATTGGCGCTCTAAAATTTATTGGCGCTACTGTCCTCCTAGTTACTTCGGTAGGACATTGTCGCATATGCACCAGCGACGGTTGCAGGGTCCCTAGGCGACCGCCATTTTCCCTAACTTTAGGATTTATATTCAAATTTATTATTTTCAATTTCTAAGTTAATTCATCGAGATGTTTTTTAATAATTTTTAAAATAGAGAAATGTTTAGGTTTTCATTGAACAAAGACTCGGGAAAAACCCAAGAACAGGAAAAGAGCAATAAACTGGGGAATGTCCCAACATCCTCAGACTACCCGGAGGTTAATCCCTTTCAAGTACCTTTTTATCTTATATGATGAGTTTTTCGAGTGCAATTTGACCCGTCGGAGTCAAAAAAAACCTTTCTTGAGAGAGTTTATTTCTTTCCCAAGAAAACTTTGGAATTTCCCTTGTTTTCCCCAACATGTGTGGGTGAGGCCCTTTGTTTGGGTCACGTAGGCCCGAGAGTTTGGGGCTGGGTTAGAGCGAACGGTTGTGGGGGTGTAAGACCAACCCCATCGACCAAGTTCAAGGACATGATTGGCTCCCCACTCCTTCGAGTGGGATGACTTTTTCGCGCGTTAGACTTAGAATAATTTTAAGACTAGAATTAACAACAGATCCACCACCTACGTGGACTAGTGAAGATCTAGAGATCTTCTCCTTTGAGTTTGTGTTCAAAGTTTCTATTTGTTATTGTCAACAAAAGTCAAAGTGCAAATATATTCATTATAATTTTATCTTCTACATAAATCCAGTGTTTGTGTACAATTATTTAAATAAAACCCGCACTTGTGCAGCAGAGTGCTTTAGCACTCCACGGGCAACTGACCCGCCATCTATATTACAAAATAACCAGCTCGGGACGTGACAATTTTGGTGACAGCGGTGGGATAAAAAAATAAAAGGACATTATAAAATTTTAAATTTAAAAAGTGCCGGCTGACAAGTGCGTGAATCGAACTGAAAAGTGATGGAGTAAAAATTATTTCGTTTGAAAATAATCAAAATTCGGACTAGTGATTGAGTGAGTGAAAGAAAAATAATAATAAACATTCTGAAAAACTTTTGGTGGATCTCCGCTCATTCTAAAATCATAAAAGTTTGAATTTATGAACACTCAGTGACAGTGAATCAAACCTCGCCTCATTTTATGAAATCAATCTAATATTTTAAATAATTGCAATACTTATTCATCGCGCACCTCTCTTTCTTGGGTTGTTTGAGTACGGTTTTCCCCTTGAACGTCGGGCAAATGCCAGAGAGAGTGGTTTCAATGGCCGTACATTGTCATTGCCGTTGAAATCACACGCGTTAAAGAGGCTTCAATAATAAAATCACTGGATAAAATTAAAATACGGCGACCGAAGACTTGGAGACGAGAATTCAACCGAAAATCAACCGGAGAGGAGAGCGCCCAGGAGCGAAGAGACGACATCGGCGGAGTGGACAACGGAAACCAGGCGAAATGTGCAGTGGTCTAGCAGTGCTGGTGTGAATAAAATATAGACAATAAGTGAAATTTGGATTAAGATTAGCCAGGGATCACAAAACGTAAGTCATCAAAAATTCCAATTCAATATGTCGCGCCGAAATTTAGGTGTACAGCCGAGTGGTAGTGGCCAATTTGCGATAGAA